TGTAACCCGTAAAAACACCGAAAATGTCTCATCAACTGCATGCCCTTAATAACTGATGAATTATCGTAACGGACAACTGCTAGTAACTGTTAATTATAGCCTTTTTTTATTGATATTGACATATTTCAACGCTAATGTGGTATAGTGGCAAATGGTATATTTACCCGAGGTCCAACCCCCCGATCGTTCCTCCCCCCCCCCAGGCCATCAAGACATTCTACCATTCGCCAGCGGCAAATTGGTGCCAGAATCGTCTGGGAGAATAAAAACAGTGATGGCTTCTATACACTGAATCCGCAAGCCAGTGCGATTCTGGATGGAAGTAGAATGCATGGCGCATTCCAAAAGAGGTCCAGGAAGGATAGAAACGTTACCCCTTACCCTCCTATTGAATTATCTCAGCGAAGGCGGAAGGGGTACTCACGAGGTTTCACCAGGAAAACCCCTCTTTGGAGAGCCTAGGTGACTGATGTAGGTACCCTACTTCCTTTTTTTTCAGAAAGTAATTATCAAAGATCATATCGGTAGTATCAAACAGTGCAGACGTTTCTTGGGACCGCTATTAACAAAGCCGCGGGAAGCGCTTATTTATAGATCCAAAGAAGAGTGACTTACGCGATCGCACTTTTAGCGCATCACGTCATTCTAGAAGAAAAAAGGTTTGCACGTAGGGAAATACGATGCCAAGCTGTTCAGTCAAGCAAATTTAATCTATTACAACATTAGACAAGTAGTAACAATTTGGTAATGGGAAATGTGTCGACTTTAAGACAGACTGCCATGGGACCATGGAATCGAGAGACGAGGTTAAAACTTCAATGAGATGAGGAGGTTCAGCTTAAAATCGAACGTAGTGAGGGAGAGACCGCAGAGGAGACGCCAGAGGGTGCACTCACGAAAAACATGCAAACAGGGCTCGACTAAACACAAATAATGTCAGTCAGAACCAGACGCGAGAACGTGGTCATATGTTCGGGAGCACCTTGGCCCTAGTCCTAATAGGGATATGTTATGCATTGAAAATAATCAACGAAAAACAATTGTGCAGTGAGCGCACCATTCAGTATAATGTAGCTGGGACTTGTGCCTCAGGAGGGAACAAACGCTCGAAAATAATTTCGTGATGAGGAGAGTCGAAGGAGGAGAACGAAAGGGAGGAAACGAGTTCGCCGCCGCTAGTCGCCTGCTGTTGTCCTGTCATTGTGTCACGCTTCATACAATCACATCGAAGAAGAAAAAAAACGAGAGAAAATCTTTGACCAAGGAAAAACTGTGGCAATTTGCCAAGTCTCGGACTACACTTCCTCTTCTCTTTAAACGTAAAAAAATTACGAAAATCATGAGGATCCGCCATTGAGGATGGACTCACCTCGTTCTCAACGAGGTGAACGAGCATCGCGTGCGACCAACTGGGAGAACGCTTCAGCCCCGCTTTACACTACCTTGCTGGCAAGTTCGTATCGCTTTCGTCTGACCTTCGATCTCACCATTCCCGTTGCGAGAACGCCGAGAGGATAGAGCAGAAAGCATGAAAGAGCCGAACTGGCTTTGACGATGATGATGGCACAATCTGAGGTTAGCCTAGCCTTATGCTCGTTGCGCCACGTTGCGCTCGCATAAAGCGAGCGCTCGAATCGGTACGTCGTTGACGACGAACGCAACAAAACGAGAAACATTGTGGGCGCGCATAAGATCAAAAACCTGTTTCGCTTTCATGTGTCGACCAGAAAGTGCAGCAACTATCGCCCGGCTGAGCGTTATGCATGCACAAAATAAAGTCCGAAACGTCATCGCAAACAAAAAACGAATTTTATGACCTCTGAAGCACTGCACGTCCTGCCGTTGGGGGAAGTTTTGCCAAAGACGACCTCCGACCTCCTCCCTTCTTCCTCCCGATTGACTCTTCCAGTCAGGTTCAAGCATCACGTTGAGGGAAATTGGCTCGTTGGTACGACCATCCTAGAAGTGAGTGTCAATACAACCCCCTTTACCTTTCATTGACCAAAAAAGAATAAAATAACGCCATGCATTTCTTCCTCTTTCAACTGTCGGCATCGGAGCCCGCTACTCCACTGCTTATTACCATACTGGAAGATACTGGAAGTTCCAGTACGACCACGCTCTTCCAGGTCCTACCTTACTTCTTAGCACCAGTTTTCCAAAAAAAGTCAAATGGTGGAGGGAGGAGGAAACGTGAAAAACAGATTGAAGTCAACAAAGGTCAACATTTTCCTTGAGGCCAATACACCCCTCCCCCCCCCCTCTCTCTCGCGATCCCACCTCGCTTCAATCCTTTGTTTTCTGGTTTCCGAGGAATCCTCCGGTCCCTCCCCACCAAGAGCAAGAAGCACACCAGAGTCCCCTCCCCCAAAAAAAGTGCTATTGAGCGGTTGGAGGGGTTATAGGTGAGGAGCGGGGTTTATAGCACACTCGAGCCGGGAGGCGAGTCACGGAAACTCTTTTCTCTGAGACAAGCGCCCCCCGCTCCACATCCCATATAACTTCCTACAACTTCAACTCGTATTTCAATCATATCTCTTCAGCTCTCTCTACACCACGCACACTCTCTTCCTAGTTTTTTCCCCCACCCGAAGACACTGCCAATCGACGGGATGAAGGGGTAACGCGGCACCCGGGCGTTACTGGGGACGTGAGACCGTAAACCACGCGGGAAATCCAGCCTTTGGAAACTGTTTTTCAAAATACACATGCAGGCCTCGTCCCCCTCTCTTTAACGGCCAAATGTGTCTCCCCCTAGGGGACCTTTAAGGTACCTCGCTCTCTGTTCAGAGACAAATTTCATCTCTGAAACAGTCAATAATCGTCCTGGAAATGTCCGTCGCTATCGGCGGCTGTTTCTTTCTGCAGTGAACGTAGCGTTCACATGCATGAGAAAGCTGAAGAGATAGAGGGGTGGAGATCAGAAGTCTGACGCCGCAGTTCATTTTCGGCGGACGCTTGTAGTCGTTGCGCGTGTTGCATCTACTCAGTCCAGCACAGGGGACTAAACAATTTTGAGACGTGGCGGCGGGCCTCTACTGGTGATGACTACTTTTCAGCCTGAAAACCACGTCGTCTGACACACATCAACACTGGTACTTCAACCCTCATAGCTCTTCAGCAATCTCTGCTCGCGTGGCTTGTATCCGCCTCTCGACTGCCTGCACCCTGTGTGACACGTGGGGCAGGCAGCAGCGGCACGATACGCGACAATTACGATCTGCCAAGCGTCTGGCTGCAACACACTCACACAACGGACATACACACACAACACACACACACATACATGGCTCACACAGATCACGCACAACCACACCACACCTTATCTTTTGGCATTTCGACAAGGACACGCGTAGATGGTGGAATGGAAGTTCGCTGGGGCGATGGCGACGACATGACCTTGAAATCGACGGGGACGGGGTGGAGAACTATTGGCAGATCGAGCCCATTTTCGAACACAAAAGACATCGCGAGAGAAGGAACAGAGGCCGTTTTTGGTGCGATTTGACCGATAACGCATCTACACGACGACCACGACGACGACGACGACGATGTTCAACCATTCCGCCCATTCCGTATCCGACTCAGGCTAATTGAGGGGTTCAGATGGTACGCCTATGGTACGATTATTCCATTGGCTTGGAAACCTGCCGTCACATGACACCTTTGCTCTTTGCCATTAGATTATTTCCACCGAGGACCTTTCTAGAACTCTTTATCGTCGTTTGTTCCTATCTGTAGCTCGAACTTCAACAGTGAACACGAATAGATTAGAAGCCAACCCACACAGCAAAAATATAATAGAATCTTCCCTGCTCCATGACAATACCCTCCACAAATCACATTGTTCTCATGATCGATGCCGGTCCTGCACAAGCATGGTCGCACATCTTTGCACTTCTGCCGCCTGTGTCATCCTCAGCCTAACGTCCCCAAACAACTCTTCACCAATACACCGCGTATCCCATAGATGGAAGGGGCGTGGCTGCGTGCTAATTTCGAATCTGGTGGAGGTCGCCCCTGTTATGGGATATATTTCGCTTTGACACATTTGTAATGCAGTCAGGTTTTTCTGACAACACAAAAATACTTCTCCCACATGGGTTCCTCCCCTTCTCCCGGGGTACTCCCTGCCGTTGGGAATAAATTTTGCAAAGTAGTACCCCCTCAAAATCTTCTCATCTGGTACGACACCTCTCCCCATTCCCATCTACCATCCTCCTGAATTCTCCCACTAAAATTTTTTCGGTTATTTTTGGAGGTTCCTTCACCTTTCAACAAAAAACTACCACCCATTAGGGGTACAGTGTCGGAACGGGAGAGGGGAGGTATACAGCGTGCATGAAACAGGGAAAACACCGAAAAGTCAACATCCGAAAACAACTTCCATGAAGGAAATGGTACTCCCCTGCCCTCTCAACGGTGTCTTTACCCACAGCTAGACAGAACTATAGTTGTCTCAAACGGAAACCTATCTTGAGGACGAGTCCTGCACCATGTTTAGATGAAGTGCAAAGTTACACCCACTCCATCTTCGAGGTACGGAGTATAGTTCCAGGCCACAAAGGCGAGCTTTAATATGGGCTTCATTCATATATAGTTCGCTGCAAGGCACCTGTTTGAAAGCTCAATCAGAAGCGGGGCGTGCAGTCAGTACTTGAGAGTAATGCTCAACCCGCTCTCGCTCTCTCTCACCCCCTCTCACCCCGCCTTAGCTTTCGTGTGTCGTTCCAAGGTTGCCCTTACTGGACGTTTTTGATCGATTCCAACAAAGGGGAACGGCTGGCTGGATGGCTGTGTGTGTGTGGCGGTCTTCGGCCGTTCGTAAAAAAAGCGGCGCTCGCAACACCCAGCCCTGCGACTGCATGAAATGTACGCTATCTTCACTGTCATAGAATTGTTTATCGAAGCTCTCTCGGGCCAATGCTCTCTCTCACTCTTTGTTCCATCTCTCTTCATCTCTAATCCTCCACTCATCTTTTCCTCCACTCCCGCATGCATCACACATACATCTACATCAGTTACACAAATTTTTGAAATTCTCAATTCGAAATTCTCCGCCCAGAAAGAGCAGGAAACAGAAAAGCATGCAAGGTGAGATCGAGTGTTACCCCTTGGAAAATCAAAAAAAAAAGTTCTGAAGAAGAACGAAAAACCTAACGATAGCAGGAATCGTGCAGAAATAACCAAGCGAATTTGGAAAAAAAATCAAAAAAAAAATGAAAGCTATTAATGAAGTAGTGTAACTCACCATTAATGCACGTAATATCAGCTCGAGTGACATGGAAGAGTTATTAGAGGGTATAGATTGAATAAGGATGGAACTCTCTTAGCGACGATTCGACAACACGAACGACAGAAACAGCCGAAGGGCCGCGCAACGTCGAGAGTCGCAGAGAACACCGAGTTCAGTTTTATATATGGGATGTTCCAGTGCTGGCCTTGAGAAGCGAACGCATTGTGGTTAGGGTAGCCCAAGGACACGCCACTTTCCGCTTTTGACAGATATGCTGTAGTAGAACGTTAAGGGACCGACTAGAGAGTCGGAGGACATGATGGGGGGAAGTGTTAGTGGCACAATAGAGCACCCCACACACACACAAAAGGGCACGCATACTCACATGCACTTTCACATGTCTTAGAATTCACCGTTTTTTACCACTCACTCACTCAGTCACTCTCTATCTGACGATCTGCTAAGAAAAAGTAACAAGAAGGGAAAAAAAAACCTCGTCATCGACGCAGATGTTAGGTGGTGGCGTCATCGTGGCGCTGGTGGTCTCGTCCGGCTCACGTTTCAACTTCTTCATTGAGCTCGAAGCGTTCAACGTTTCCTGACCGTTGGTACGATGAGGACTGAGCACGGCTGGCGCCGGCGCCCGAGCGACTTCGCGCTCCGGCTCGATTCTGCTACGCTTCGGAATATCGAAAGTGACGGTTGGATTTTTAAACGACGCTGCCAACGAACACCCCAAAAACACTGGTGCTCTCTCGACTCCCTAAATGGAATCAATTGAAACGGGGATGTTATCGAGTTTGAAATACATCGGTGAATGTGTGAAAGTCAATTTTGACAAAATAGAATGTACCTTACACGTGGAGTCCAGTGGCAGATCCGATGAATGGGCTGGCGTTAGCAGCGAATCAATAAGGAAATAGTTGCCTTTTTGAGATTTTGGCGAATGAGTTTGTGATATAGTGGACGATTTCAATAGTGAATTCGATTCAGTATGGACCTCCACGATGTTCGTCAGTTTCGCCGTGTAATAGTCATCAGTCGATGAGAATACAGGCAAAAACTGCTGTTGTGTATTGGTACTGGTACTGGCTGACGGGCTTGAGTCTCGCTTACTCAAGTCGAGCGGTTGCGACTCGACACCGTCGAAATGCTGCTGAAAATTGTGATTTGAAACGATTGTTCAATGATACAATAACCACCACTGAGTGATATTATCAGCAACTGAACGACGTTGGGCGATCGTTGGAGCGATGGCGTAGGGGGTGATGAAAAATTTTCCCCGAGCACAAATTGAAATCAAATCATTGATATATGTATATTATGGAGATTTGCAGTCACCTATAAAACGTTTTTTAGCCCTTTTATCGGGGCGATATGGCCGATTGTTCAGTGAAAAGGACGGAAGCGACGACAAACTCTCGTTTGTTCAGCATCTGCCACTGAACGCGTGACAAATGTTCTCAATAGGAAACGGGGAGAAAAAAGTTGTTTTCTCCCGGACATGAGACCCCATTCTGGTACATTCTGGCACATTCTCTCTAGAGGAAAGGTGTGAATCACATCTCAGAAAGGTGAAAAGCAGTAACAATCCGATGAGGTAAGAACGATGGTGAAACGGATGACACTTGGGAGAATGACGTACATGAGCCCGATCATTTCTTCGACACTAACTAATCGCGTTTTAAAGTGCGACGTGCGGACGACACGCTTGCACAGGCCGCGTTTGACGCAAAGTGCTCATCGCGGTGGCCGCGGCGGTAGTGCGAAATCGCGCGAACGCCGTTCGCCATGAGGCGTGGCATGGCAGCGGTAGCGTGCGACGGCGATCGCAGGCGGGGCTTCGCGTCGTTCGCTTTTTTATCGCCGCATCGCGATGCCCACAGCAAGAACTCAACGCGGCCGCCGCCGACATCAGCGTAGCTATGCGAGGCTGGCTCCAGCTGCATGTGAGTGCGAGTGCGAGTGTATTGCGCTGGCTGTGTGTGTGTGTGTGTGTTGTGTGTGCTGTGTGCTGTGCATGTGTGTGTGTGTCCAGCGGCCGGCACACTCCCGTGTGTGTGTACCGCGAAGCGCCGTGCCTGCTAGTGCTGGCCGTTCGCGCGTTCTCCTCACAACGTTCATGCCATCGCGTTTTCACCGTGCCATGCGCTATCCCCTTTATACACCTCAGTGCAAAGAATATCCTCTAGACGGATCCCTACCTATCCATCGGCCACTCCGATACACCCCACCACTTTCCTCAGTGCACAATTCCCCCACTCGCCATCGCGGCTCTTATCAGAATGACATCTGGGAACGCTTATGGCACGAAACCGCGCTTTCACGTCTTACAGCGCTACGTCCAGCCCACATGTGCTCGGCTGGGTAGTTCTCAAAAACACTATCGATGCATGTGGTTATTGAAGGGTGATAAATTACGACCATTGCGGCTTGGCAATGCATGATCCCCCCACACACCACACGCTCCCCACATCCATGCATACAAGCAGATCAGTCACATACATACATGCCATTGCTATGATGGCCTTGAAAAACTGCTACGTCATGTAATGTCGAATATTCGATCGCCCCCCATCAAACCAATCGAGCGCAGCTAGCGCCGCAACATGAACGCGGGCAGATGCGGCCAGGTAAAAGAGCGTCTCGCGAAAAGGCGGGGCTCACAGAGAGTGGAAATTACGTAATTGTACACGGTTCACTGATTCAATGGTGGCGAAATGGAGGATAATGGTTGTCAAAACGATTGAATCACAGCAGTCAGAACTAAGCCGTTTAGACTGGGGAAAATGAAAAGGAGTTCCTGATTGAGAGGTTTAAGATGCAATTTTTATGAAATCTACGACCAAATGTTTCCGAATCTCCGTTAGAAAAAGATGGCGCTAATAACCTTGGGGTGGACATTTAAGGACTCTTAGGGAAAACTTAACTAAAACTAAGAATTACGGCAGTAAAGACGAGATCATTTGCCTAGGCCTAACAAAACGGCACGTCCCACGCTTGGGTTCCCCACCAAGAGGGTCGTGTTAGGGCGCTGAAGGGAAGGGGTGTTCGCCTTTGCAGACAATCTTTTAGGCTGTTGACTTTGACTGTGTTTCCCTTCCACGCGCACTAGATGCCCCCCCCCACCTCCTGCTGAAGGCAACGGTCTTGGAAGGGGGGGGGGGGACGGGAATGGGGAAGCTTGGAATTTTGAAAAGTGGTAAAAAGTTAGGGAAATTCAGGAAGATGGTAGGTAGGATAGGTGATGGGGAAGAGGAGTCGTACCAGAGTGCGAAATTTCGAGAGGGGAGATAACGGCAGGACGTACTTTAAGCCTGAAGGGGAGAAGCCCGCTGTGAGCGTACCCATTAAAAGTACGATAATTCTGTTCAAACAACATTAATCCTAGTTTTTCATAAAGAATGCTCTGGAAGCCACCTGCTTCCCCCTCCCTCTTGGAAGGTATTAGCACCAAAGTGAGAACTTACAGTCAGAGGTAAGAATTACATGTGACCTTCAACTAAAGTAGAGCTCGTGATGTGTGGAATGGATGTCAGTACGAGAACCCCCCCCCCATCACCCAAATTTTCTTGTCTGGGACAAACCCCTCCCCCCTCCAAGCTTCTTCGTCTGGTACGAATCCCTTACAAATCCTACCTGCTATCTTCCTAAGTTTCCCGAACTTTTCAATACTGTTCAGAATTAATGGAATTTCCTTTTTCAAAAAATTCAAAAAACGGGTATCTAGGTGGGGGAGTGGCCACTGAACAACTACTAATTCCAACGACTTATCAGAAATAGTCTTCCCAGGACTTCTGCCATATACCCCTTACACCCTTCTCCCCCCCCCCTCCAATCCCCCTAGTTGACTCACATAACTGCCAGGCAGGGGGGGAGGGGGGGGGGGAATGTATAGCACATAGAAAAGGAAAGGCCTGAAGAAGCCAGCAACTGGAAAAAAAACTGCATTGCAGCGTGGAAAGTTTTTTCTCGGTGGCATTCACCCCGGTGACCAAGTACGACCCCCCTCCCCCAGTGGGGTTCTCTCAGCGATGCTGTACCCCGTTCTCAGTACAGTTCAGAGCCAAAAGGATCCCCTCAGATTTTCCTCTGCTCTCCTACTTGGTAACTTATGGATCCGCTGGAGAATACAGAACTTCGTGCCAAATGCCAGAAAAGGGCGGAAGTACAGCGTAGTAGTGAAGTGGAAATAAAGAAGAAAATTTTCTACAGGATCGAGTTTTCAAGGAAGAAAGAAAAGGAAGTGTTCATTTTCGACCGGTTTTCCAAATAGATTCTGAAAATCACGAAATGTCATCCTATTCTGACAAAAAAATAGAATGGAAATTTAGCGGATAATTAAAACTTCCAAAATCGTGGCGAGCAAAGAGGGAGAATGGGAGGGAACAGGTTACGAGGTAGAAATTGATCTTGTAATTCGAAATTGGTTACTCGAGTGAAAGGAGAGTGCGTGTCTCGGCGAGCATGCGGGCACATTCTCGCTGTGGAAAAGGGCATTTGAGGAGGGCTTATGGAATCACCGAAGCCGTTCCGTTGTGATGTAGAGACGGGGTGGTAGAAAAGAGTTGGGTCGATGAGGTCGCGGATCGAAAACCGCTTAACTCGATGAACTATGAAGTCTGTGAAAGACAAGAAAAAAACCGTTTGACAAACGAGTTTATAAACAAGATAGCGCGACAGCGCGAGAAAAACCCTCGCAAAAGTGGCAAAATCAATACGCTTGCACTTGCCCGCACACAAATGCGCTGGTTGCAATTGCCTCCTCCTCCTCCTCTCACCCCGTCGTCGCCACTCTCAATCCCCCCCCCCTTCTTCACTCGCGTTTCCAGCCTCTATCTCACCATTTCTCCCTCTCACTCCACGCAATACACACACATCCCTCTCCAAGCCTCTCAGCATCTGCACAACGGCCACCAACAACGACAACGAACATAGGAGGCGTTAATGTGTTCAGAAACACACGCATAGACACGCCAGCTGCTGTCAATTCTCGGTGAGCGAGTCGAAATTCGCGTCATTTCTTCAACATGTTCTTCTGTGGCGTTCAGCGAAATCAAACGAGGCGAAAGACACATGCCGATAGAAACGAGTCTGTGCGGTTGGCGGCGTTGTCCGCCGCGGCGCTGAAAAGGTCTCCTGTACCGGCTAAAGTGGCTCGCTGTGAGAGGGAAATTTTTCGAACGCGCAAATCGCTAACTGGCTGAAGTGAGAGAGAGTGGGAGAGCAAGAGAGATGGAGGGCCGATGTACACATATATAGAGGAGACTGAGGTCTTTGTTCGGCTCGAACACACGTGCGCAACATGTCGAAGATCGTATTTGTCGCGCGACGAACATCATTCCTTGGCGGACGGCCCTCGGGCTGTCCAGGTCTATACGATAAGAAAGGGCATCGATGACACACACACACATTCACGTACGCACATATGCATACAATTCTGCATATACACACATAAACACTCAGCTACAGTTATACATGCACTTTCAAACGACGATGTACAAACGACGAAGCTCCCCGCTAGCTAAGCGGCATGCCGCTATCAATCGTTTCGCGATAGTCATTTTTCCAGCGAGCCGATAACGCCCGCGGACGCCGGCGATCGCGTAATGCAGTGGTGGAGAACGACGCGGAAGTTATGGAAGGGCATGAAAGGGTCAGCTTTCCGTAGTTGCACTACTTTCGCAGGACTCCCTTCTAGATAGAGAATCTTGTGCAGTACATCCCAGGAGCCTTTCAGTTCTGCCCTTGGCTCAGCGCCAATCATAACTGGAACATATATGCACGCTCTTTCGTTTGCTATTCGGTGTCTTATAAAGTGAATAAAAACAGTGATCAAAGCTCGGCTGTAAGGTGAACATCCCACTGGCAAGGGACACCTATCCCATTATACGAGTGTAAACAGTAAAAAAAACTTTGCGACGACTATAACAAACCAACGCCAACGATCAAACCAAGGCCCTGATAAACGGCGTGTTCGATAAAAATTGGTAACTGGTAAGAAGGTAAGAGAGCTTGGAACGAACTTGATTGTGATGTGATGTTGAGGCGGCAATGGCAGTGGAATTGGTGGAAGTCGTTGCACATGAATATGGACGAAATGCCGATCCAGCGTCGTAATGATGATCGTCGACGGCGTCGCCACGCCGACGTCGATGTGCAGTAGCAGTTTCGGTACCGACGAAAGAATCCACTGTGACGGTAGCAATTGTAGATGACGGTGAAAGGGGTTGAGCATCAAAGGGCAACCAGCTATCGTTTCTCGACTCGTTGAATGTTGAACTGACGATCTGGCACATCCGATGTGTCGGTCTCTCAATGTGCAACGTGCGTGGGTGATGTGACCACGTTGTGCCTGAAATCGATTTTCATTTATATCATTGTCATGAAAGAAACGACGAACATGAACATGTCAAATGCCAACGTCGCATCCACTCCACCACCGTACTGCCCCAACGTCTAAATTCAATCGATCGATTCAAGTTTTCAAAAATTTCTCTGCCCATATATTGCAACAATATCTGAAGCGATGCAGATAAAAAGGATCAAACGCTGCAAATCGTCCAGAGTTCCTTCTCCGTGGGTCGACTGAGGTGTTCCAGAACTTGCGCATGATTAGGTGATGCGAGAAGTTTGGTACCATTTCGTATTCTTTAGTTCCATAAAGCAGGGTCACCTGACAATTAGAAGCCCTGAAGGAAGTTCCCGCGCGAAAGGCCAGAGCGCAGAGAAGTAGAGCACTGCGGCTATCAAGGTATCAAAAGGTGCAGAAAAAACGCTGCAACCCAGGAGATTCGCTTTTTCAGAGGTAGGGGACTTGAGGTGGATCAGCCACTTATAAAACAAAAAAATTGGAATGTTCAAGGATTTATTGGTTACACATGCCATGCAGACGAGGGAACGCAGAGAAAAAGAGAAAGTCGGTGCGATTGAAGGGATGAGTTCGAGT